TAATTTAATTGTTACTAAATTAACAATATAGATATGATGTACGTACAATATGTTGTAATTTTACATTATATTCATTTCAATTTATTACCTTGAGAATTGACTCTCTTTATTGATTTATAATTGACTCTTACATTATATTCATTTTTTTACTAATACTGATTTGATTCTTTTTACTGATTGATAATTGACTCTTACATTATATTCATTTTTACTGATACTGTATTTTACAATTTGATTTAGAAATGTGGAGTAGTCCATAAACTATATAATTAGACGATTGCTTTGCTTGTTGGACTCTTGCTGGTGTGCACGATATGATTATGAACTTAATTATGCGAGTGAGATTAAACATTTATATCAAACAATTTTTATATTTATATACATATTTATTTTGCGTTTATAATTTTATAATACAATAGTTTGTACATTGTTAACGATCTTGCGATTTTAACATTGAAAATGACCTAATGAAGGTCGAAACGTATGTTTTTATATTTTATTAAACTTTATATTTATTTAATTTTAATTAATGACAGTTTATTGCTAAGACCTTTATATTTTAACTAATGTTGGCTCGTAGCCCTGTTTTGTATTAATTATTTCAATATGCTTAATAAATTCAATAATTGTTTTTTCTTTATTGTATCTATTAATAGGAAGACCAAATTTTTCACCAAGTTGTAATAAGTACTGTACCTTCAAGGGAACGTCAGTGTCACTTAAATTAATAAACCACTTATTCTGTGGTATATCAAGATTAACTGAATCTGTAAAACTAACAGGATCGACATAAATTTTCTCAGTGTCAGAATTAATGTTAAGTGAAGAACTAGAAGGTAAAATTTGATTTCTGTTAGAATTGTCATTTGAAAAATTACAATAATAATTAATAGGATTAATTCTTAATTTAGATAATGATAATCTTTTATTATTAAGCCAGTCAATCTTATTAGAAATACGACGCATTTGCTCAAAAAAATATGAATTACCGATAAAGTCCAAATATTTAAAAAATTCGTATTGTACCCGGAATGGCAGTGAAACATAAATCCTCTTAGACAAGTTAAAAATGTCCATTCTTATTTTATGAAGGTGGCAGTAGGCATCTTTAAGCTCTAATCGCATGATATTCTTTACATAATTCAATTGATAATTCTTAAGTCTGTAATATGACGAATTATTATGCAATGAAAAGTTATTCTGATTAGTCAAATGTTGTAAATGTGGAAGAACAATTTGGAACTTTAAACAAGAATTAATAAATTCAATGCGGACTCGAACATTAACACTTAATTTAACCAGATTACATAATCTTTTAAGAATGTCACAATAATAAATTCCAAAATGACGTCTAATATAAGAAAAAGTGAAGTTAAAAGAGTACATAGTGAAAAACTGAAAAACGCATAATTTCGCCCGCGTAAATAAAAAATATGTAAATAACAAGGCTCAATAAATTTAAAAAATAATCAATACAAAACAGGGCTACGAGCCAACATTAGTTAAAATATAAAGGTCTTAGCAATAAACTGTCATTAATTAAAATTAAATAAATATAAAGTTTAATAAAATATAAAAACATACGTTTCGACCTTCATTAGGTTATTTTCAATGTTAAAATCGCAAGATCGTTAACAATGTACAAACTATTGTATTATAAAATTATAAACGCAAAATAAATATGTATATAAATATAAAAATTATTTAATATAGATGTTTAATCTCACTCGCATAATTAAGTTCATAATCATATCGTGCACACTAGCAAGAGTCCAACAAGCAAAGCAATCGTCTAATTATATAGTTTATGGACTACTCCACATTTCTAAATCAAATCGTAAAATACAGTATCAGTAAAAATGAATATAATGTAAGAGTCAATAATCAATCAATAAAAAGAATCAAATCAAATCGTAAAATACAGTAT